CGACCAACCATATATTCCAGTCAGGCGCCAAGATCCCTCGTTGTCTTCAATAAGCAAGTCAATATGGTTATGGGAATACCCCTTCACCTCTACCTTCATTTCCTCCCTCCACATTACTAGTAATCCACCAGATCGACCTTCTGACCCCACACCAAAACCATTCTTCCATCCAAGTTTTTGCAACATTGCTCTCCATTCATGGTGCTTCTTCTTAGTTTCCATTAAGAAAGCAACATGGGGGTTTTGTCTCTGGAGGAGAGACTTTACTTTTCGAATTTCCAAGGGATTCCCCAACCCTCGACAATTGTAGCTCAAACAAGTCATTGAGCTGGGCAGCTCTGCTCGCTTGCAGAGTCCCCCACTTCGCCATCCATGTTTGAGGTTGTATTCACCAGACCTAAATGATGCCCTTCTGTATCAGTGTTAACACCCATTTGTATGCAGCCTTTTCTTTTCTTGATTTCATCAGCCTCCTCGTGGTTCTCTTGAGTATCAGAAGCACGTTTCTGAGGAGTTAGTGGTGGCCTGCCGCTGTTTTGAATCCCTTGTCGAGGGTCAGGGATCTTTTTCCAGGTTCCATTCTTTTTACTGCCTGTGTTCACCTGAGAGTAAATTCCCATATTGGAAACTATGGGTTTTGTAAGCTAGAGTTGCTGTTGAGGCAGACCATCAATCTGCTGATTCCCATGTGGACTTTCTTCCTCACATTCATTGCTTCCCATCATAGTGGATCTATCTGTCTGCTGCTGTGCCAGCTGTTTACTGCTAGTCATCGATTGATGGGTATTCATCATCATGTTTTTATCCCTGTCTTGTGGCTTAGTGGCCTGCCTTGGGATTTTTTGGTATTGTGTTTCATTCTTTCCCTCATTCTCTCTCTCCGCATTTTCCTTCAGCTTCTCTATAGTCCACTCCCCTCTAGCTACCTCTTGCTGATGATTCCAAGTTTCTTCAGCCGAGCCTTTCCATGGTTCCCTCATACTCAACACTGAGGGGTGATTCGCCTTAGAACTTTGTTGTTGCAACTCCTGGAAAGGGTTATACCCCTCTAACCTTCTCAGATTATCTAACCGATTTTGTACCATTGGGTGTGCCTGAGCTCCCTTTTCTGACTGTCGAGCTTCTTCTGTCATTCTGTCTCTGTCAAATTTTGCTCTAAGTGCAGTCCATATTTCTCCTTGTTCTTCTTTCTCCAGCTTAGATCTCCATGGTTTGTCTCTCTATGGACCCACTCTGAGGTCCGGACCATATAGATGATGATCCCCCGCCATCGGAAACTCACAATTTAGCTGAGGGTGTCCCACCCTACCACAGTTAAAACAATACAGTGGTAATTTTTCATACTTCACCTCAAATTTAACAATGTTCTCTTGGACTTTCAGTTTCAGCTCCGGTTTAAGGGGCGTTCTGATGTCCTTCTCAATGCGCAATCGAAGAAAATCATCCCAAATACAATCTCTTCTGTTATCCACCCAAACCAGTTTGCCAAATCTATTTCCAATCTTATGAGCCATCTCAGTAATTCTGAGGGCCGCTGGGAGATTATAGATTCGAATCCATATCTCCATGGTGACATAGTCATCCACCTTTGGTTTGTGGAAGATATCAGAAGTTTTAAATATTAGAAGGTTGTTTTCAAAGTGCCATGGACCCCAGACATAACTTTGTCTCTGTCACTTTTCTCTAGGAACTGGAAAGCAAAGAGTTGCTCTCCTATCTCTGTGATTTGGAATCCTTGTTTCAGATTCCAGGCTTTTGATAGCGCAATTTTCATGGACTTGATATTTTGTTTTTTTGCAGCCACCAGCCTGCCAACTAGTCCCAGCATTGCTACAGCTCGTACCAGCATTGAATCGAAATCACTATCTTCAACAACTAATGGATCTTCTTCTGCTAAGGCAACCTTCTCAATCTGAGCAGCCAGTTGTTCCGGATTGAAAGCTTTGACTCTCGCTTCCTGATCTTCATCCCTCTTTTTAGTAATCATCTGTTGTAGGTTTGACACCGAGGGCACAGCAGAGCTGCCCGAGCCTAGGGTTCCTACTGGAACCTCATTATTTTGTGATGTAGTCTCATGATTCAGCGATCCGCCTGTGTCTCCTTCCTCTAGAATAGCCTCGCTCGGAGTTTCCACCGTATCTTGCTGTTCCATCTTCCTTTGACAACTTTCTTGTGAAACACGAAAACCAGCAAAAAAGGATCAGAGGCTGTGCACACACAGAATTACTTAAGAAAAAACAATCACTCCCTTGCCCTAAACGCAGGAGGCAGCTTAAGGCTCCCCTAAGATAATAGTTTTTAGACGAGACCCCTTAGATCGTTTGGGATCAATCTAAGGGAAACTCTCACTCAAAGCCCTAGCTCGCAGGAGGCAAGTTAAAGCGTAGGAACTTATGTCAAAACCTAAACGAAGCACCTCTAAAAAAAACTGTTCTCCCTGCAGAGGGGAAAAGTAACTCACGACAACGATTTATACGAGATTAGGACCCTAAACCGCTTCCAACACAGAAACTCTCGCTAAACAAGAGAAAAACTCTAACTATTGCAGATGCCTTTGGTTTCACTACATACATGATGATTAACATAAATAAGCACCCTTTCCAAGGGGGATAAAGGAGAACGAATCGTAACATACCGTAGGTCTAATCAACAAAACTTCCCATCGGAGTCTAAATCGATAGACGGTTTTTAGCGTCACAAAATGGTTGGCCTGTCGTTAAACCACAATTTCAGTATAGAATAGTCTATCGTACTAACTTTTCCGATACGATTTTACAATCCTTTTCCATTTTATCAATCAATGTTTGAATTGGCGCGTGTGATGTTTCATTTTCGTGGAACTTTCGAGTGAAGTGAGGACAAAATTTATGAACCCAACCAATGGTTAGTCGGCATCGGCCGATTGAGTCACCTCCCGTAACTCCTAAGGCACCATGAGCTTTAGAAATAAAGTCCATGTACGTGAGTATGAATGGTTTCTTTGAATAGTTCAACGAAAAATTAAAGACTTTTGTCGGATTACACCCTCCAACCAAATCAAATATGTTGACTATGCATATATTTTGACTTGTGAGATCGATAGTCTTTGTCATAAGTTTCGATGATAAGACGTCGATCTTACGTTCAATGGAAAATAAATGAATTCCTTTCGATACCAAACAAAGCAACCATACATACATAACTTTTATCTCGTAATTCCAAGAGCTCCGTTCCTAGGCTCATAACTCATAAACACCAATGTTTTGGTTTGGAATAAAATATTTTAGGAAATAAAGTGATTTTGTATCCTTAACATTACGATACAAATTGAACGTGTAGATTAACGTTCTGGTACATAATCAATTTGCAACCTATTCGTTTTCGTACAAAAATATTTATGGTATTAAAATCAACTTGTTTACTACTTCTATTTCTTTTGATTTGAAGAGTAATGATTGATAAATTACACATCTCACTCTATATGACGTTTAAGACATTGAGTACCCAACTGCTATTTTCGATATAGTCATAAAAAGCGTCGAAAAGATTGAGAAAAATCGGTCATTCACAACCACTAATGAAGGATTCCTCGAAAAGTTGATTAGAAACGCGAGCAAATATGTCTTATTTTGAATTTTTAAAAAAATTATGTATCATTGATTGCTTTGATACTATGAAATAACATGATTTTGACTAATTAAAATTTTCGAACTAAATAATATAATACCAACAAAGTATAATATGAGATTAGTTAATAATCTTGTATGACATACAAAATAAATGTATTAAACACGAGTCAATACTTTAGTAAACAAGTCTAACTCGAACTCGACTCGTTTACTAACAAGTCGAGTCAAAGTTAGGATAAAGTTTGGCTTGACACGGCTCATTTGAAACACTAAATGCATGTTTAATCAATTAATTTAATATACACGATATTATAAATAAAATATCATAACGACTTACTTTGAAAGTGACAATATCGTTAGTTACAACTTACATCTAGTTTGAGTAACCATTTTATTTGTTTCATTCATACTTTAGAGTTCGTTGTGTTATTGTCTTATTGATAACAATCAAATAAGGACCGTGTATCGACTTGAGTAAAGTCATCTTCAATATTCATAAAGGATTAGAAACACGGAAATACAAATACAACAATTTATCGAGAGTGAAGTTGTCAATCTACAGGTCGATCCGGATCCTGTGAGGAAAAGTGGGCGGCACATATTTACGGATTGACCCAGAATAGGATTCTCAGATTGGAGGTCATACAGTGTCATTTTTCTTTTTGGTAGGGATGGCAATTTGAACTCGCCCCGTTGGGTATTACCCGACCTGACCCGCGATGGGGCGGGTATTACCCGACCCGTAGTAGCATGGGGCAGGGCATGAGTATCCACTTTCGACCTGTCCTATATTGCCCCGTCCCATTCTAGGCCAATTTATTACGCCATCCATTCATATATCGCCTATTTTGGCTTTTGTTCAACTAGTTAGACTTGATCTTTCAACTAGATAAACTCAATTATCCATTATATTATCAACTATTATTCATTCATTAAGTCTTTCCCCATTTGTTTTATCGTAAAAAGTAAAATTTTGCATGTATTTTTATCAAATAGAATGTAAGAGTGGGTCGACCCGCCCCGCAGTAGCGTGGGGCAGGACATGGCTATTGAGGTACCCGCCCCGCCCCGACTCATTGCCATCACTACTTTTTTGCTTGTGAAATGTGCATCTTTTTTCGGTTTCCCCTTCGTCTAACCTTATATTTGAAATTCTAAGTTGAACCATTTAAATATTAATTGTATACGAGTATGTTTGAATCAAGATACGAACTATTATTTTGGTATAATGTTATATGTTATTGGCCATATGAGATAAAAATATAATATAATTATTAATGTATAAATAATGTAATGATTATTTTCATAAACCGGATCAAAGCAATTGAACAATTAACCCTCAACCCATATGTTTTACCGGACTGGCAGGTTAAACCGGGTTGACTTCCTCCCCAAGAAAGAAAAATATCTCACCGATAGGACGAGTTTGGCATTTTCATCGTCATAAGTTCCACGCAGCTCGGCGAAGCTCCACTCTCAATTTTTCACGATTAATTTGTTGTCCTCACCTGGACTCGAGCGTTCCTTCTTCAATTCACTTTCCCCAACCCCACTGAGCTCCAAAGCAGCCAAGCAGGTAAGAGCCTCTCTTCCGGATCCTTTAGGGTTTCGCTGTTTGATATTTCGCCGCACCGTGGTTGGCGAATCATCTGTTGCGCCCTAAAACTGTCTTCCTTTGTGCGTCACAATCTTGATCTCGAACGGATTGTTTGGTTAGAAATGATAGACGTGTTTTTCCCTTTTCGTGCTTCGGTCTGCCCTTGCTGCCTAGATTGCGAACTTGAGATTTTGCCCCGCTCTCTCTTTCGGATCGTACTTCAATTGCTTCGACTCAATGTACTATGGTTCCGCAGTGGTTCAGTCTATGATTGCTGGTTTCTGAGTGTCCCTCGCAGGAAATTCTGTTTTGTGCTTCCATGGCGCAAACCCCCATTGAAGCTGTCACGAGCCCAGCTGCTGTTGTTAGTAAAGTTGCGGGTGCTGCTGCTGATTGGTTCTTGCCTGTTGAATTCCTTCAGCATTGCTTTGATGCAGTCCATTCTTTTACCGGTTGTAACTGGTAAATAACTGGTTCCCTGTCTATTACAAGAATGTGGCACCCTAGTGTAAAATTTGCCGTGTGATGCCTTGAAGTATGCATGAAAAACAGTGAGTTCACATCCCTAGATTCATCCAAGCTTATTTATGTACCATGGATGAGGACTTTAGGGTTTCTAGTATCATTATGGATTTAACTGGAAAACACTCTTATTATATGAGTCTCTGGTATAACATGTATTGTGCAGTTGGGCATTCATGAAAATGTTACATGAGTGAAAAGCTTTGGTTAAATCACAGAAGCACCTTCTTTTACTTCTGAAAAATGCCTTCTAGGATGTCATAAATGCTTCTTCTTCGATCACCCTTTTGCAGGTTTCTGTCCATCGCTTTAACAACTCTGATCCTAAAGACAACAACTCTTCCCTTCCTGATAAATCAGCTTAAATTTAACATAAGGGTTTTTGTAAGTCCTATGCCTGTTAAAATGTTGTGCACATTCGCTTTCAGTTAAAGTCCAACCATCATTGTTGATACACTTTTATCCTTATGCTCATTGTATGTTGGTGCCGCATTTTCTTACTTGTGGTTGTGTTTCAGCTTGTGACGCTGCAGCTGAAGCAGATTGAGAAAGTCATTCGAGATAAGGTTGTATTCTGCATTTTGTGTTGTTAGATCTTCACACACTAACTAAAGATTTTGCTTGAATAATGTTTTTTCGCAGTTGAATATGGCTTAGGAACTATTTCCCCAGGCTTCCTTTTGTTCGTTATTGTTTTTGTGGTCTTTGCTACTGTAAGTTTGTGGTTTACATTGGGGAACTCTGCTCTTGCTAGGCAGTTTGAATTAGGTAAATATAGAGTTTATGGGCACTATTGCAACTTCAACTGATGGTCTCGCTATGAAGATGTTGAAATCATTCATTTTTAAAATGGAAGAGTTGTTCTTACACCCTCAAAATTATATATATATATATATATATATATATATATATATATATATATATGGTTCAGGCTATATATATATTGTTGACCCACACACATTTCTGATCCTTCATGTGCCTGGGTGATTGAATTACCTTTTTAAAGTGATTTCAACTAATATGTCTCTTACGCTATATCAATCTGACAGGGTGTAGAGCCAGAGGCTGTATATGGTTATGAAGTCCAGGAAAAAAAAGAGAAGCTTTACAAGGAGTAAGCAACTTCTCTACATGTTTGGAAGGGAACTAATTGGGCAGTTCATTTTTTAAAATATTCAATTTTTCCTTCTCCCACCTCTTTCTTGTGTTATGGAAGTGATAGACTCAGTTATTCATGACTAGCAACCTACATCATGTAGTGTAATTATTCTTGGTTACTATTTTGGATCTCTTAAGTTCCTATTTCCTATAGTTTATTATTTGCATTTAAGGCTGGATTAGTTATGTTTTGAACGAAAATTTCTCTTGATAGGGCCTGGATTAGTCATTTGCATGTTTTGATTTCCTCTAGCATGATATTTCCATATCCTCTATACTTTAAATTCATATTTATAGTTCTTTTTGTTCTTGCAGATATGGTGTTACTCCTTTTACTCCATGGAAATGGTATTTCATGCAGGGTCCTATTTCCGTCTGCTTTTTCCTTGCGGTATGTGGATTCCAATATTTTGACAGTTCCATTGGTATAGGTTAATGAGTTTGCGAAACAGTAAATCTGCTTTTCGTTCCATTTTCGACTGACATTGTGCAAACATTCCAGATATGGAACATGGCGGAAAAAGTGCCTTCATTTAAAAATGGCGGAGCATACTGGTTCACTGATCTGACTACTCCGGACAGTATGTACCTACTTCCGGTTTTGATCGGATTGGGTTTTTTGACATCAGTCGAGGTAGATAATTAGTTCCCATTTCAAGTTTGAATCTACTAGTGTTTTTCCATCTATATTTCCAACTTCTTGAGTTTACAAAATGAATTGACTGAAGGTTTGGAGGCACCTGTCAGAAGGTTTGGGGGGAAATCCCATTTCTGGTACCAGGATTACAATCTCAAGAGTCTTGGCTGTGGGACTTGCTCCATTATCAGCGTCCTTCCCCACGGTAAATTTTTGTGACAATATAACTTTCAGTTCCTTCTACAGGCTGTGAAATCTAATTCCTTTCTCCTCTTATCTTGTCCTTGTGGTTCAAATTTTCTAGGTACAAATCACACGCTCGTATTCATTTTTATGTGTGGAAATATACTCCATTCCATTCCACTACATGATTGTCTTATCATCTGCTGCATTCTCAGTCAGCTTTTTGCTTGCTGTTCTGTAATTCTCCTATTCCTGCTTGTTTTCATATTTCGAAACTAGTTGCAGGAATGCAAAATCTTGGCACGAAAGAGTTTTGAATACCCTTCCAAGGTTATTCCAATTAGGATGGAAGCCTAATATGTTGTTCGTGTATCTGCAGGCCATATGTGGCTATCTGTTAACATACAGCTTCTTCTTAGTGTTGTGTGGTTTAGGTAAGTTGCTCCTTTCTGTACCTGTGAATAACCCTAAGATAGACGAACATATATATATATTGCCATGAGAATTGCAAGCAAAGATGTGTGCCTGATCTTTGGACATGTGCCTTTCAGCGATCAAGGTTCCTGCGGTGAAGAAATCCTTGGGCCTTCCTGAAATAGCCATGCCACCCACTGCCACACTGGACGAAGAAGTGCTAGGACGAATCATCATCTTCAGCAAAGATATCCAGTCGTAGAGCGTCATCATCTTGCAAGAAGTAATACAGCGATTTTGTTCATGAACCGACCAAGTGATCACGCAGACGTAGGGCTGTCCTGCCTGTCCATTTGGTTTTAATCGAAACCAAACCAATTGGAAAGCTAATGGTTTCAGTTTTTTGGTTTTAATAAGCAACTTAATGGTTTTGGTTTGATTAAAATCGAGAAACCAATAGAAACCAATAAGAATAAAATTATTAATCAATTTTTTTCTTCTTTTTTTTTTTTCTTTTGACACGCATGCTAACCAATAATTTGTTATGATCATTTACCATTATTTTGACGTTTATTCAATAAAAAGGAGGGAAATAGGAATAAATATGAGTGTATGAGTACATGTTGTCTTTTTGGTTATCCAAACTAAAACCATTAAGGCCCTTATTGGTTTTTGGTTGCCAAAAATCAATAAGGATCTTAATGGTTTTGGTTTTTGAGATTTGGTTTTTGGTTTTTCATACTTAATAGTTTGATTAACCAAACCAAATTGACAGCCCTACAGAGGAACACAAAGGTTCGACGGCGGCGTTTCATCTATGATTGCTCATATAACATGTTAGAAGAGGAAGTCAGAGGTGTTTAGCTTGAAAAATGATGCCCTGTTTTGATTACATTTTAGCTTCGATATCCGATCATTTTGTGAGACTGTTATGTGGTACTTGGAACTAGATGAATACCCTGGGGTCGTCTGGATGTGGAAATGTAATGCAGTAATTGGATCCAATTACCACATAATGCAGTAATTGGGTTAAAAACTCACGTTTGGGAGAGCAAAAAGGTAAGGGAATTGGACCATGGAAATTGGCTTCAATTACCACATTCATGGTAATTGAGAATACTACACCTCCCCCTAGTAATTTGACATTACCACGTTTTCTTACTTATTTTTCCAAATTTCACACCATCAATTCCCACAAAACTAAATTCTATCCAAACGTGAATTTTTTTTTTCAATTTCCACAAGTCAATTTCTTGGTTTTGTAAAACATGGAAATTCAGACAAATTCCAACGTTTTCAAATTTCCACATCCAAACGACCCTTAGAAAACATAGCTCTGTTTAGGACTTTAGTTGTCTGGTATTTTCTGTTTCGTTTGCTAAATGATTAAACTGTTAATGAGAATTTTCAACAAAATACCAGTCATTATCGGTTTAATTAACTTGCAGGATTCGGTAGTGGTTGGGGTCACTTCACTAGGGTTTAAAGTTTAAACATATTGGTCCACAAGGTTGTTGATTCTTGATTGCTAGGGGTTCTGCAATTAAATAGAATGCCTCCCAACTTACTGCGGATGCCGTTGGTTTCACAACATACATAATGATTAACATAATAAACACCTTTCCTTGTGGGATAAAGGAGAACAAATCATACCGTAATGTAGGTCTAATCGAGAAAATCTCTCACCGGAATCTAAATCGATAGATAGTTTTTAATAGCATGAAATGATTGAACTAATGTTAAACCACAGTTTCAGTATAAAATATCATATCGCTAATTTTTTCGATCCGATTTTACAATTCTTCATTTTTAATCATTCAAATTTTCGGACTGACCCACAGGATGCCTCATGGAAGTTTCGGGTCAAGTAAGGACAAATTTTGTGAACCGAGTGGTTATTAGTCGACGTCCGATCGAGTCACCTCCCTTAACTCACAAGGCACCACGGTCCTCTCTTTCATACAAATAAAGACCATGTATGTGTGTATGAATGGGGTTCTTTGAACAATTCAACGAAAAATTATAAAGACTTTTGTCGTATTACACCCTCCAAGCAAATCAAATATGTTGACTACGCATATATTGTCCGATCGATAGTCGTTGCGATAAGTTTCGGTAATCTGAGGTTGATCTTACGCTGAATAGAAAATAAACGAATTTCTTTCAATAACTTCATAATTATATTCACATGCATTACAAATTTATTTATAATGCTAAATTATACTTTCAATGGTATAGTACAAAATCAACTTATACCTAAAACTATTGGTGTTTATAACATTATAAACAATAGTTTACTATTTCTTTTTCTTTTTATTTGAAGATTAGTGAACAAGAAATTCCCACACGTTCCAAGTATGGCCATTGGTTTGTTGCTATATATCTTTTATTTTTTATTGTAAGAATTGTGGCCTATAAATTACTAGTTCGTGTTCTTTCTCCTATATTAAGATGTATAAGAATTCGGAAACAAGATCACAATTTGGTATCAACTGATGAGTAAAAAATGTCATTCCATTAGGTAATCAATGCATTTCTTTTTGCGTCTTCAACGATATTATCATTTTTTATATATATCAAAATTATCATATGCTCACATAAAACATTGGTATTTTATTAATTCGAACTGAGTTACCACTAGAAATAAAGTAACTCACACCAAAATTTATTTTCTCAAAAGGTACCCTAGACTAATATCCCCACAAGAATAGAAGTTGAAACTCTAAAAACAAACTTTTCTTTTCTCCAGTCTATTATTTTCGTTTAGTCTATGAAAGTGGAAATTATAATTATCCAATCCAATTTATTTACTGTTGTGTGTTATTTAATTTCTTGTCATTTCCATTGGTTGGTGTTATTTAATCTTTCCCTATGACAACCTGTACTCGTTTTTTTTTAATTAAGAAATATTCCAGAATCAGCTTACCCGATTTAACCTAATTGTCAGCCGAACTCGCCACTCACCAACACAACAGCAAACCAACTCGGCCCCGCAACTCAGTGAAGAAGAAAAATCCGCAGTTATTCCTCCAGCTCCTTCTTTCCCCCCGTCTCTCACCTCTCTGCTTCTTCCTTCCGAGTTCCGTCCGCATCCATATTACTCCCCTTTCTCTCTCTCTCTCTCTGTTTACCAAGTCAAGTCGCCTCTTTCTCTCTCTCTCTCTAGAAACGGAATTAATTTCAAAAACTGATTCTATTTCTTCCCTCCGGTCACTTCACGCCAGCGTCGCGCTATTTATTGACATATCAGTTCTCTCTTCTTAATTCGAATAGAAACGCTATATCACGTTTCTGCCTCGTCTGCATTTGTTCTTTTGTTTGGCGGAGAGAGAGGAGGAGGCCGATCAATCGGAGCTGAGAGATCGATTGAGGAAAAACAATGGCTCAGATGAAGTATCTGATCGAGGTCGAGAAAGGCCAGCCTGCCAAGGACGGGAAGCCGTCGATCGGACCTGCTTACCGCAGTATTTTCGCCAAGGATGGATATCCACCTCCAATTCCTGGACTGAACAGCTGCTGGGACGTTTTCCGGTGAGTTTTCCTTTCTCTTCTTCGGTTTCCGTTGCTCGGAGATTTGAGTTTTGGAGAATTTGAAGGAGTTATCACTTATCAGTCTTAAGCTAGTTGTATGCTGTCCAGTCGGGATCCCGTTGACTTGCATTGGTCTGCTACGGCGGCGGCGACTGCTTCCCTCGAGCATACTGATTCCGTCATGCTCTGTGATTCTGTTGAACTTGAAATCTAGCTCGATTCCTAATTTCTGCCATTTAGAATGTCGAATTGATTGCTGCGAAATCGCGAGGATGCTAGTTTAATTGTTCTACGTCTGGCGATGCGATTCGATTCGGAGAGAATTTAGTTTCCTTCGTTTGGCTCAGCTCTCACTGTAATGTGTTTTTGCTGATGGATCGGTTCTCGCTTGTTTTTTGAAGCATGAGCGTGGAGAAGTATCCAAACAACCCTATGCTCGGCCGCCGGGAGATTGTGGACGGCAAGGTTTGTGGTTGTTGATTGTTGATATGCGATTTAATAGGGATTTGTTGTGATGTTTATTTAGACATTTCAATTTCCTTTGGTTTGCATTTTAGGCCGGAAAGTATGTGTGGCAGACGTACCAGCAAGTCTACGACATAGTTATCAAAGTCGGAAATGCGATTCGCAGCTGCGGTGTTGAACCGGTATAGCTATATCTGAGCTTTGTTTTAGGATATGCTTCAGAGCTTAGCATTCGCCATTGAATTATGGTATTGATGATTCCTGGTTGTCAGGGAGCGAAATGTGGAATCTATGGCGCCAACAGTGCAGAATGGATTATCAGCATGGAGGTACTCACGTCAGCTTTTTCCCCCTGAATGGCCGATCTGATTGTTGTGGCGGAGCTTCTTTTAATTCTTGAGAGTTTTCTTTTGTGTCGTTGTCCTTTTGTTTTGGGGTGCATGTGATGGAGAGTACAATTGTGTTTCTGTCTGGGAAAGGGATGGGCCGTTTGGCTGGATTGTCTTTACTCCATTGTTTGATTTGTAAACTTGAGTGTGTTTGCCTATATTCTTTTTTTTTTTTATCTTGGATTGCAACGCCATTGGGATCCTTGTCCTACTCATCTGGATCACCAAGCTGCGTTGTTTTTATCTAAAAGAGGGTATAATCTTCGGTGCAGATGTAGTTGAAGACATTTAAGTTGTGTGCTATTTCATTGCTTGATTGTTATTTGCTACTGTGTAGTGTATTTTCTGTTGTTGGCATCAATTGAGATCTATGGTCTGAATGTCTTAATTATGTCTGCAAACTGATGCAGGCTTGCAATGCTCATGGACTGTACTGTGTCCCATTGTACGACACCTTAGGTATGGGTTTTTGTCTGTTGATAAGAGAGCAATAATCATTGATCGAATCAGCATATAAACTGCTACTTTATGCATGATTATGGCAGTATATTTGTTTGTTGATGGGTTTAAGTAGAGAATGCAGCCTCTGAGTTCGAGAACTTTCACACTGAACTACTTCTTGTATATTTTGGTGATTGTATCAGGTGCTGGTGCTATCGAGTACATTCTTTGTCATTCGGAGATTTCAATTGCTTTTACAGAAGAGAAAAAGATTCCTGAGGTATTAATTCTTATGAGACTGTCATCCTTTTCTTATGCATTGTTGCCGTAGTGTGCCACTGATATTGTGGGGAGGCATGTATTATTATATAATGCTTTGGTGTTGTGATTATGGTTTATGTTAGCTCATTGCTATAGAAATCGAAACGAGCTTTACTTTGGGCCACCAACATCCCTATTGATATGTTATTTTACTTCTGTCTTTCAGCTATTGAAAACATTTCCTAATGCAACCCAACATTTGAAAAGTAAGTCAAGTTTGACAGAGTATAATCGACTGTTATGTGTTACTGAGATTCTCATTACATGTATCTCATTTTGCAGCAATTGTGAGTTTTGGTAAGGTAACTCCCGAGCAGAGACAGGAGATTGAAAAGTATGGCTTGTCAGTCTATTCTTGGGAAGAATTTGTCAAACTGGTAGGCTGCTGTCATGTGTTTTAGTCTTTGTCTTTGCTTATGAGCTTCCAGAAATAAGCTCTTAGTTATGAACTTATGATTTTTGTTATGGGAGTTATTCTGCTCTTTGACACCATATACTGCTCCTTCCATGTCAAATTTAGGGGGAGAATAAAGAGTACGACTTTCCAGAGAAGAAGAAAAGTGATATATGTACAATTATGTATACTAGTGGAACAACTGGTGATCCAAAGGGAGTTATGATTTCTAATCTCAACATCATTACTCTTATAGCTGGGGTCAAGCGGGTGCTAGAATGTGTGGATGAAAAGGTGAGCATTCTCTTTTGGCATTTGATCATCAGCTGATGAGCTTGCAGATAATGCTCTAAATCTTCTGCAGAGTTCTTAAGGTGGCCTTCTAATTTTCTAATTTATTTCTACTCTTTGGTTGTCATGTTTCCAGCTGACCTCAAAGGATGTATATCTGTCATACCTTCCTCTTGCTCATATCTTTGATCGAGTGATTGAGGAATTATTTATTTTTCATGGGGCATCCATAGGCTTCTGGCGAGGGGTAAGCGTGCAAAAGAAGTTTTTGGTTTTTTCATTTGTCTTGTTTCAGTTGGACCGAGAATTCACTTGATTGACCTATGACCATATGCTACACAGTTCAGTGATCTCAGGTGCTTTTCTTATGTTCTTACAGGATGTCAAGCTATTAGTTGAAGACATTGGAGAGTTAAAACCATCCATCTTCTGTGCCGTTCCCCGTGTGCTTGACAGAATATATGGAGGTAAGACCTTTACTGTGATTGAATACTTTTCCTTCTCTTGTAACATCATGTTGGAGCATGGAAATAATTCATAAATAGTTCAAGAGAGCCCCCGGACGCATTTTGGTTTCAGCCTTGAGCTGTTGGCCCTTATCAGCATGGACTACGGAGAGTGGAATCCACTGTTTTGATTTTTATAGTTCAATGCACACGCTTGTCTCCAAATTCACGCCATCTTCTTTCCTCTTTTTCCAGGCTTGACTCAGAAGATCTCTGCGGGGAGCTTGTTGAAGAAGACATTGTTCAATTTTGCTTACTCCCGGTAAGTGTTGTTTTGACATTCTAGTCTGGTCTTTCATCTCCAGCTTTGATAATTGATACTACTGTTGCATTGGCCTGTCCTTGTGAGCTCAACTTGGGCAAAAAGCGGGATATTTAAATGTTGAGGTTCGTTAATCTTGCTTGCGATTATGGTTCCTGTTTCTTGACTAACTGGTGATCTCACTCTCTCGCTTCAGCAAACTGAGTAATTTAAAAGGCGGGAGTAAGACAGACGAGGCATCTCCACTCAGCGACAAGCTCGTCTTCAGCAAGGTAATGATGATGCTTGATCACATTTAAAGCAGTCTAATCATGTTGTCGAATTGCAAATTACTGTTATGATCTTTAACTCTTTTGGCTCATCCTCACAGGTAAGGCAAGGGTTGGGAGGAAATGTGCGGCTAATCCTATCTGGAGCAGCACCACTCGCCAGCCATGTGGAAGCTTACCTTCGAGTCGTCACATGTGCCCATGTTCTACAAGGATACGGTAAGACTATTATCAACCCTCTTCTACTCTCTGCGGCCAACTTACATTTCATTCACTCACAAATCATCTCATTGTTTACGAACATATGAATGTATGCAGGTCTCACGGAGAGCTGTGCTGGAAGCTTCGTGTCACTGCCAAATGACATGTCCATGCTTGGCACCGTAGGTCCTCCAGTGCCAAACGTTGATGTCCGCCTTGAATCTGTTCCGGAAATGAATTACGATGCTCTCTCCAGCACGCCTCGCGGTGAAATCTGCATCCGTGGTGACACCCTGTTTTCTGGCTACTACAAACGTGATGATCTCACTGAGGAAGTCTTGATTGATGGATGGTTCCACACTGGTCCGTGAACTCTCCCCCCTATTTCTTCAGATTCTGCAACATTTTCCTGTAAATTCTAATCTCAGATTATTGTACTGCAACAGGCGATGTTGGTGAATGGCAGCCCGATGGAAGCATGAAAATCATTGACAGGAAGAAGAATATCTTCAAGCTCTCACAGGGAGAGTACGTTGCCGTGGAGCACCTTGAGAACATCTATGGCGGAACCCCTGGAATCGATTCGGTAATTCATTTGGTTTTGTCCTTCCGGTTAATCAAGTATAACCAACGACGACTTCTAATTCTCAAAGCGATTTTCTTCGACTCGAATCTTGTTAGATTTGGGTTTATGGGAACAGCTTCGAGTCGTACCTGGTCGGGGTGGTGAATCCGAACAAGCTAGCGCTTGAGAAATGGGCTGAAGAGAACGGTGTCAGCGGTGACTTCAACTCCCTCTGCGAGAACCCAAAGGCCAAAGAACACATACTCCAAGAACTCTCCAAGATAGGGAAAGAGAAGAAGGTACTTGCTCCCCCGTTCGTTTCAGTTTACTTACGTTGATGATGGTCGAAAATTAGTTCGAATTGAATCAGGTTCTCACTTTTCTGACTCTTTCATTTTCTGCATTGCCGTGGATTCCGACAGTTGAAAGGATTCGAGTTCCTGAAAGCTGCACACCTTGATCCGGAACCTTTCGACATGGAGCGCGATCTCCTAACTCCAACGTACAAAAAGAAGAGACCCCAGCTCCTCAAATATTACCAGGTTTTCTCTCTCATCCACCTCTGTTCCTCTTGCCAAAGAGAAACTATACGATCCGAATTAGGCGACGAAGTTAATCTATACGACTTAGAGTAAGCTAACTATCGAAATTCGTATAATCACGGACAAGAAGAAACCGATGTTCTTTCTCTCGACTTTAGACCTTTGATTGAACAAAACTAACTTCTCGTAAACAATGTGCAGAACGTTATCGACGAAATGTACAAGAGCATCAACCGCAAGTGAAACATGTCCCGCGGAGGAGAGAACAGGGGGACAAGAAGGATGAAACCTCCGACGTTGTCGTGCTTCTGTGTGTTTTTGTGTTGAAGCCTTTTTCTTTGCGAAAGTTTCCTTTGTGGCTGTGTACATAGTTAAATTTTTATCAACTCCCTAGTCTCTACTTATTTATTAGTTTGTCCGCCACCACACATTAAGTCGAATTTTTTCTGAATCTACAATAAGACCGCTCATTTTCATTTCTTTTTTCCCCCATCCCCTTTCGCTTTTAGTTTTTTTTTTTATAGTAAATCTGTTTCAGTTTAATGGAGAAATGACAAAAACTAACAGAATCACAATTTCATATTTTATTCTTCATTTTTGTTAAAGCCAAACCAAACCCGGTCTACAAGCTTGTCAATTTTCCTTCAAAGCCATTAATGATTTCGGTTGAAACAGAAAACCGTTAATTAATAAAAAAAATACAGTCAATGAATTCTTTCAGTAAAACAAACAAAACTATTGCACAGATACTTCAAAATTACAACAATTTCTTTCAGCTACCCAGATAAACCAGGAAACGTATAAGAGATGAGACAATAGATAAGAGCAAAGCCTGTGTAAAAAGTAAAAGTAAAAACTAAAGAAAAACTCGGTGTCTGAAATGATTGAAGTTACAACAAACCCAGGATATGGAAGGGTAGAAGAAGTACTTAAGACTACAACAAAGAAAAAATATTTACTACAAAAAGAGAGAAGAAATATTTACTCTTTTTTTTTTCAATTCGACTGCATATAGGAGACGGCAGCTTCCATCTCTTGGGTAGTCCGAAGAGACATGGGTTGGTACTGCATTGCGAGCATCTCCTCTCTGTTATACTTCAGCCTTTGATCTATTTACAGTACAGCAAAAAAAAAGAACAATCAGAATCCATGTAAACACAACGCGAAACCTCGGCTTTTCCTCTGAAAAGGAACATTTCTGCAGCTGAGCAAACGACATACGTACCGATGAAATACCGAGACACGGGCAAAGAGGTCGTAGGCCTCTTCGCTTGTTTACGATTCCCTTGGGAGCGTCTCGATGATGACAAGGGTGAGGGGGAGTGGCGAGAGCCAGTTTGATCTGATGAGGAGGTCCGTAAGTGTTCGTGCTTTACTTCGAGTAGAGGGTGCCTTCCGCAGAAAGACACGAGGGCATCCTCTGTTAGGAGCCAACAATCACTCAAATCGAGAACTTTTAGGGTTCCCGGGGGTTTGAATGACCCCACGCCATTGTCTGTCAACACGGCACTCTGAAGACCGAGCTGGGTGAGCTTCGACAGCTTTGATAAATGGTGGAGGGCAGTGTCTGTCAGTGAAGCACTTCTGAGAGACAAATGACTCAGTTCATTCATCTTAGATAATGGAACTAGAGCTGCATCATCCACTTGAGTATGCTCCAATTTCAGGCTTTCCAAACTGTTGAGGCTGAGAAGGCTCAACAGCGAGGCGATTTCGTCAGGCTCAGCTCCTTCTTGACGAATGAGACCTACAGAGTCCAGCAAACAACCAATCACAAATTTAAGAGAGTGACACCATAGATGTAATAAATGAGGAAGCCGGTATGTAGCTATAGTAAAGAATAGTTTGAGCCAATAATTACAACAGATTGTCGGTTTGGGTGCACCTTTGGGAGAGTTATATTTGCAATAACATGTAATCAAACAAATATATTGTTTTCCGATGATGCATTTGAGTGCATTTGAAATCATAGATGCGATATAAAATGCAACATGCATTTCAAATATTTCAGGATACTTAACATCCACCCACCTTAAGATAATGGATCCTATCCTCCGCCCCACCCCGCCCCAACTTATCTAATCTAATTTTGTGCACAACAATACTTCTGCAAGTACACCTCACAAAAAAAGTAGCAAGGAACAAAGCAAATCCTATCGATTTGCAAAACCAAAGGAAGGATATGTGTAAAAGAGTCCGTACCTTTGACTTTTGTGCTGCTTAAGTCGATCGCCTTGAGTGACGACATCATACCAAGAAATGAGATGGAAGCATCATTTATCAGAGTGTAAGATAATGATAGCACTTCGAGTCTGGGAACGTGTTCTGCTAATTTTGATATTCCAGCAGAAGTAACCCTCGTTTTGCTAAGGTTTAAACTTCTCAAGCTGGCTCCAATACAGCATATCCATTCGATTGAGTCATCTCCCATCATACTAGAGCTCAGATTTAAATGTTCGAGAGCTTCCATTTCGGACAAAAAGCTGAAGTCGACAAGGGATGAATTGGAGACATCCAAATAAGATAAGCAACTTGATCCAGTCCATGAGAACATATCAGCCTCATTTTGTATCTTCGTTCCAGCTAAAATAAGCTTTGCAAGTGGAGCTTTATAACCATCACCTTCAAGTGCAGTGTCAATGGTGCAGTTGCTTAAGTTTAAGCATTCAATAGATGGTATATTTGGAAACAATGTGACACCTGTCCACGCCAGACTGAGATAACTCAGCTTTGGGAAGTTTTTCAGAAGAGAAACACCTTTGTTTGTTATTTGACTCCCCCAAAGGTCAAGGTGTTTTAGCTTTCTCAATACCTAAGAAAAAAAGAAACAGTCATTTTTAAACTTACTAGCTAATGAATTTATTTTAAGGAAACAATATATTCATCTTTAGTTGTTATTAGCAATTAGATTGGTCTGCCGATTAAGTTTAAACTAGGGTCCAACATCGTCATGAAGATATTTCTAATCAAAGAACTTCTAGCAATTATAAGAAAAAGTAAGATACCTGGAGAGAGCTCAGGACTCTATCAGTGACCGGCAAATCACCCAATTCTAAAACTGACAACTCCCTAAGTGAGGAGAGCAGCATAATCCCGTCTTCAGTTGGGCTAGTTCCTGAAAGCCTCAATACTTCCAACGTCGAGATAAAGGTGAGATGCCGAATGCCAACATCTGTAACCTTGACACATCTAGAAAGGTCTACTTCCTTTAACCTGGTCAAACCTGCAAGAACAAGAAGCAGGATTAAGTCATAATGCAGAGTCCATAACTCACCCCACTCACTTTAGCAGAGAGCAGTTTTGTTCAAAAGCAGCCATTCTATAATTGACAAATTTCTCAATCTTAATAGAGCACAACTGCACAAATGCCTCGACGCGGAAGTCTTTTAAAGTAAGAAATCTATTTAGTTGAAGCATTGAGCTACAGACATTTGAATAAAGAACAGTACAGAACGAGGGAACTTATTCTCAGTCAAACCAATACCAACTAGAGGCCAGAGAGCAGAACTATTGATTCTGTAACAATCGGCAAGCTTCAAAGATCGCAAGTAGCGGAAAGCTCCCAAATACGCCATCCACTCCGCATCCACTGCGTTCTCGCCTCTGAGATCAACATCCTCCACGCTGTTTTTGAAAACTCTACACAAGCGCATGCATAGCTAGGTTAAGCACATCACGAATACACATATATCATCCTGTAAACACAGAACACTCAGCGGCATAATAGAGAAAGTTTCAGCGATGATATATATCAACCGTAGAGAGACAAAATCCGATAAGGTTAACAACAACTTCGGCAATGCCACAACTATCTACGATATCCTAATAATCCCTTCCTACAATCCTATCCTCCATCAGTTCTGGCCAGTTCCACAAACAACCGATTCTAGATAGAAGCAAAGGTGAATTGTTCAGTGAACAGTGATCGATGTCGAATTGAACTAATACGAAATCCCGAGCTCAATCAACCAAATGACGGGAAACAAAGACCTCCTCCGATCTCCTGCAAATTCACGGATGAACTCAACGGAATCGTTTTAGCGGAAGAGTTCGCCGCGAGAATTCGACGAGATGATTTGGAGCTTCTCATCGTCGATTGAATTTCAGTAGGCACAATTCAAAGGCAAGAGAAACACAAGACGAGGAAATCAAATTGGTGAAGGAGGAGGAGGAGGAAGTTACTCGAGCAAAGAAGGAAAGAGGAGGCGGCGTTGGAGGAGGCGGTGGAGCAAGGCGTCGGCGAGAACAGAAGGCATCCGCTCCAGTGTCCGTCGCTGCCGTCTCCATCGCTCGATGCTTTCTTTGCTTCGGCAGGCCGCTTCGATGCACAGTACGACCAATTGGCTCTCGATCTCCATTTCCGCGCGATTAGGCACCGGGATCAGATCTACTGTCTTGTTCGTCGATTGCAAACTAGTATGCAATATATATGTTTATTCAAAATTCAGAATATAAATTTTATTATTTATAGGAAAATGTTTTTCCAGTCAGAGAGTGGAAGTCAACTTAAGTCCTGTTAGGGGAAGTCTACCCACACAACCGAAAGTGAAAATATTTCTCTGGAAAGCTTGCAGGAACATCTTACCTGTTGGGGCGAATGTGTCGGATTGGGTGGAAACGGCTGAAGATGAATGCCCATTCTGCTCCCTTAGGGAGACCCAGATGCATGCTCTCAGGGACTGCGCTTGGATACGGCGGCAATGGCAGGGTTGTGCTGTGGAAGAAGCATATATGTTAGGGGAGGATCGAACCCCTATGGAATGGTTGAAAGAGGTATGGAAGGTATGCAGTACTGAACAAATCCAAAAATTTACCTCAATCCTGTGGTTTCTCTGGAAAGAAAGATGTAACCAGAAGTACAACAACAACAAGCTCGAGGAAGGCGACATTATCCCCAGGGCGCTGTCGTGGATCGATTCCTATCTTGCGGCCCAAGATCACTCTCGAAGTCCTCTGGTCCTTGAGGAGACGGCAAATGATTCTCAGATCCACCAATGGAATCCGCCTCCTGTCGGCGCATTTAAGCTCAATTCGGATGCTGGGGTTTTTAAGAATGGCGGTGTGGGTTTCGGCTGTGTTTTCAGAGATTGGAGGGGCGCTTTTGTGGGTGCGACGATGAAGAAGGCAAGAGGAACATGCAGCCCGATTGAGGCTGAGGCTAGGGCGTTAGTGATGGGGCTGGTTGAAGCTAATCGGAGGAATCTGAGCCCCCTAATCGTTGAATCGGACTGCCAAGTTCTCATCAATAAACTGAGGAGAAAGGAAGAGGATTTCACTGAACTGGGAAGTTGGTGCGAAGAGATTCAGAGGTTGGCAAAAGTGAATGAAGAACTGTCTGGAAATCGGATTTCTTGGTCGTTTGCGAGCAGAAGGAAGAACAGGGTTGCCCATTGGTTGGCCCATTCGGGGTCGGTTTGGGATTGTCAAGTGATTTGGACCGATAGTCCACCACTGTCTCTACTCGCTATGCTAGAGGAAGATTTGGGCTGTGGCCCATGTAACAGAGACTGATCGTTTGTTCCTTGAAATGAATACAGGTTCCCATAAAAAAAAAAAAACTTAAGTCCTTACTTCCTCCCCACGCATTACCAGAATTTCCTTTACCAGAGCCATGGTTGTCATGCCGGTGGCATGCCACCCGGTTCAACCTGGTTCAACCTGTGCCGGTCATGAAACCGGCATGACACCACCGGTATGACCGGTATGATCGACTTAACCATTCTAAGTAAAATGACATCATTTTAATGAATTTAATGAATAAAAAAATTAATTTATTATTCATTTTATGAATGTAATAGTTAAAAGTTGATGATATTTGTTGGATTGTAACTAAATTGTCCACAAATATGTTTTATATATGATTAGATACATTGGATATTAATTGTTTTCACATTTTTTTAAACCGGCATGAACCGGCACAAACTGGTTATACCACCGGTCGTACCATTCCACTTGCCAAACCGGCACAACGGTATAAACCGGTTTGACAACCTTGACCAGAGCCCAATACTATCTCACAGTTTTGAGACATTTCTTGACAGCTTCATCAAAGATTCCCTTTGTTTGCGGTTCAATGCTTTGGTATAAACTCATTTGACATTTGCTTTTTTTTTATACACGTGGTATAGGTTCGGTATTTTCCTTACGAATGATTAGGGCTACAAATGAGCCAACCTGTTCGTGAGCAACTCTGACATACGTGTTCATTTTTTTTTTTTTATAGACGTGATATAGGTTCGGTATTTTCACAAACCTCAAAAGTGTGTTGTAAAGTTTATAGCAATGAAACAAAAAGGCTAAAAAGTTGAAGAGTAACAAAGACAGTTCAAACAAATCACTCTCCATATTTCTCTCAAAACCCCTTATATATATAGATAGACCTAAATAACAACAATGATAAAAGTACTAAATGCGAGCTCAAATCTAACACGAGTCAAAATTTTAATTTAAGACAAAATTAAACATTGACTCATTTATTAACAAGCTAAGTCCAAACTAGAATTAAAACTCTAATCGACACAATCCAACCAAACAAACTACAATAAGATGAAAAAAAACCTTCCCTCCTAAAAATCCATCTCACTCTAATTTCCACGTACCAAAACTTAAAATAGCTACAGCTTGACAACTATGACACTGACATTATCCCGGCTCCCACGCGCCACCGCCAGCTCAGCCAGAAACGCAGCCGCCGCCGATGCACAGTTTTCCGTCGTGTCGTCAGCAAATCTCATCCTCATCCCGCCGTTGAAACATTTCGCGACGATATCGCAGGCTAGCTCATTAGAGACCACATCCCACAACCCCTTCGATCCGATCACCACGAATTCCCCCATTGATTCGCCCCGCTCCGTAACTGTCACCGCCGGCTTCACCCGATGACGGCGATCACGATCACGATCTCCTGTATTACAACAATTAGCAATGACTTGCCCAAAAATTTCGGAAAATGAGACAGAACTAGCTCAGTACCAATAACTCCATCGATGTCGCGGTTGAGGTTCCAACTTATGCCCTTCCCCTGTTTTCGCTCTGCCTCCGGCGCCGGCTGATCGTGACAAAAAGGATTCAAACGCAAGCAAAAAATGAGTCAAAACAATATCAAGGGGGGAAATGGAAACTAATTACAGCATTTTTTCAGAAGGTGGAGCCGTGGAGAAGAGGAATTACATCGTGGAAACGACGCCTGAGCCTAGAAGTAGTCGAAATGGAGAGAGACCGAATTCGTTCAAGAATTGGATGGAATTTGATGTGCGGATTCCTGCATCCGAACCCGATTCGTAGATTTCTTCTTCTTCTTCTTCTTCTTCTTCTGATTTTGGACTTTGAGAGGGTTGAGAGATCATCGGACTTTACTCTGTTTTGATCATCCCGCGACAGAGGCAGGGCAACTCCGCCGCGAAACAGAACAGCTCTACAATCTCCGGCGATATTGTTGCTCTCAGCCACCACTAGCTCTTCCTTCCCCACCATCACCACCACCGCCGCTTTCGCCGTCCACGGTCCAGATTTCCCCAGCTCGCGAATCTCGTCCTCCATCTTCTGAAAGCTGCTGCGCATCACTCTGTTCCAGTATTCCCATCCCCTGCATAATCCCCCTCTCATCTTGTCCGCTTCCATTGCCACCGTAAGATGCATCGTGGTTTGGCACACGCCGGCGCCGGCGCCGCCGTAGACGGCGAAGAAATCGAAGCAATTCTCGAACCCGCCAATTTCCAGCCGCGGCGCCGCCGTCGCCGCGTCCGACATCGTCCTCTTCCGGCCCATAACCGATACCAATCCGTGCGAAGGGCTCGCCGCCGTCGGCGGCGGCGTCTTGCTTTTGGGGATGGATGCTGCGAGTGATTCCTCAGCAGCGGCTTCGACTTCAGGGTCGTCGGACGGATGCCTGATCTCCATTTCCTTCAAACGACGCGTCGTTTTGATGGGTTTGTTCTTCGGTTGAGTTCGGACAGTTTTCGTCTTCTTGGCCAGATGAAATGATGAGATCATTGCGATTCGCAGAGTAGGGAGAAAGAATCAAATGGGTTTTTTTTTTTTTCTATGTTACTGAGAGCAGAAAATGTTTTTTTTTTTTTCTAATAGGAATTTTTGTTTTAAACAGGGGCTTGCGACGAAGATCACAGAACGAAGAGCAAGTTCGGTCTAGTGGATTTAAATAGGAGAGGTGAGAGGAGAAAGGGTGTTGCTGAGGTGGCGCCATGTGGTGCGAGGCGAAAGAAGTGGACGGCTGAGATTGAAAAATGTTGCATACGTGGCGGCAGCGTTTCTGAGTGAGGATGGCTTAGTCATTTCGGAGGGCGCGCTGGCGGGAAAGGAATGTAGGGAAACGGCAAAAAGCCTCCTTTGACTCAGTAGTGTTTTGCTAGGGGTGGCAGCCGGTCGGTTTCGGTTTAACCGAAAACCGAAAACCCGGTTATCGGTTAAATCGAGACACCCAACACGGCTGCCGACCACCGACCGGGAGATAACCACGGATAACCGACCACCGACCGATCGGTTTTCGGTTGTAGGCTCGGTTAACCACAGACCCGGAAAAAGTAACCCTTCCCTCTAAAACGCCAGCGTTTAGTTAATTAAAAAAAAAAAAAAAACCCAAACAAATCCTCCACCATACAATCCTTATCTTCTTCCACTTTTTCAAACCCACCAGCCACCACAGACCACACCATCCTTATCTCCTTCCTTCTCTCACCTTCCCATCTTCTCTCACCTTTCTATCCTTCCTCCAATTCACAGAGACACAGACTGACCTTCGCCTGGATAGCGCCGTCGCGAGGGAGGAAGATGGCGAACTGGGCGACGGAGATGGCGACTTGGCAGGGGATGGCGCCGTCGCGACTCGCGAGGGAGGGAGATGGCGACCTGGGCGAGGGATGGCGACGTCGCGAGGGAGGGAGATGGCGAACTGGGCGAGGGAGATGGCGCCGCCGCGGGGGAGGGAGATGGCGAACTGGGTGACTGGCGGTGGTTGATGATTGAGCCGCGGGGGATTGCTGGAACCGACGGTGGTTGATGATTGGGTCGCCGGGGATCGCACAGGGTTGTCGGGCGTCGTCGATGGTTTGGTATCGGTTGGATGGTGGAGACGACGGGGGTGGTTGCTGGTGGTGAGGGAAGGGAGTGGTCATTTGGGGTCGACGAAGGAGAAGGAGATTAGGAGAAGGAGGATAGGGTTTGGGCTCTTTGGGGTGGGCATTTGGGAATTGGGCGCATGTTTTATATGGGTCGGTTGGTGTCGGTTACTCGGCTAGCCGAGTTCGGTTGCTCGGCTAGCCGATGCTCCTACCAGCCACTCCGACCACCGACCGAGGCTGTATATAGTCGGTTTTCGGTTAGCCGCTAACCGGCGGTTATCGGTCTAACCGTCCGGTTAGCCGCTAACCGGCGGTTATCGGTCTAACCGTCCGGTTAGCCGCTAACCGACAACCGAACTGCCACCCCTATGTTTTGCAATGTAGTCAAAAGCGTAATTCTATCTAAAAGCGCTGATTTTATCTAGATACGTAAAATCGTAAGCTTTTAAGTTTTAAAAAGTAGATGACTATATTTGTAAGGAAAAATCATGATTCTACGTAGAAGCGTTGTGGTGACCCAAAAAGGTAAAAGCGTAAGTTTTAAAGTTTTAAAGTGCGATTTTGACTGCATTGGTGTTAGGGATGGCAACAAAACCCGAACCCACGGGTACCCACCCGACCCAACCCGGTCAACGCGGGTAAAATCCGTGTTGACGGGTTTTGGGCCGGGTTTGGGTTTAAACCCGTTCACTATTCACCGGGTTGGGTTGGGTTTGGGTTTAGGTAAACCCGGCCCGTGGGTACCCGCCCACTCATATAATTAATTTTTTCGGTATGTTTAATATTCTAAACAACTAATCTTATTTATGTTTGTGGAGACATGTCTAATTTTTTCTTTTTAATTGTGTAGAATGAAGTTGATGTTATGGAGTGGAGAGTAAAGAAACTTAATTGAAAGGAAGAAGCTTTCAATTAAACATGTTATTTATGGTCTTCAATTTTCTTGAGTTTTCTATATTAGTGTTGAATAATTTGTATAGTTAATTTGTGATTTGCTTGAATTTTCTAGAATGGTGTTTTATATATGGATAATTTGTATTGAGAGATTGATATTTGACTTTAATTTTGATAAGAATTTGTAATTGTAAATTTTTTACGACAAAACCCGTGGGTACCCATGAACCCGCGGATACCCAACGGGTTGGGTTGGGTTTGAGTTTTTCAAACCCAGTGGGTTTTACCCCGGGTTTTTTTCAAAGATAAACCCATGGGTTTGGCAAAACCCGACCCAACCCGACCCATTGCCATCCCTAATTGGTGTTTAGACTTTTGAATGGACGAGATGTAAAACATATTTGCTGAGTCGTTTGGTTTGTGGATTCGAAAATCAAAGGTTTTAGTAAAATTTTATTTTTGCAAAACCATGGATATCAGGGGCGGATACATGGACATCTAGGGGTGTCCCGGGACACCCCTAAAATTTGGGAAAACGATTATCCAACCTTCGGTAATAATTTCGTATGGGTATACAAAATATAATTGGTGATTCGGGACACCCTAACATTTGAAAAAATGATTATCCTACCCTCAATAATAGTTTTCTTATGATTAACAAAATATAAGTGGTAGTTCGTGTTATTCCAACATAGGACACTACTATTATCAAACATATTCTAATTATGTTGCTACTCATTTTTTATTCTATTTTAAACATCATGCAACAGTAAAATGCTATTTCTTTATCCCCAACTATTTTCAATACCTAATAATTAAACTACGTACACGCTACCCTTAATTTTGAATTGATTTTATGGTTACACGGCAAGTGTTGAGAGAGTCTTTTCTACTTTGAGCTACATTAAGAACAAGTTTAGAAATCGAATATGTGATAAGTTCGTGAAGTATTGTCTAGTAGGATATGTAGATTTTTTTTGAACAGTGCAGACACGGAGTTTATTTTATATTATTTTTTCAAAATATGAAAACACATCATGAATTTTAATAAAAAAATTTATACACGTATGATATTTTTAATATATGAATTATTTAATTTATTATTTAATTAAATTTAATTTTTGAAGAGGACACCCCTGTGAAAATTTTCTGAATCCGCCACTGATGGATATATGAGAGTTTTGGATTTATTATGGATTTGAAAAATACCATTGTTTGTTTTATAGATTTCAATTTCGTGATAGAATTGGTTAATTAGATTTGTATGTATGAAGTGAAATTTTCGTTTATTATCCTCATTGGTATGACAAGAGAAATGAAACAAGATGAGTAGTTTGGTATTAAATTATGGACTAAAGTCCATTATCAATTCCCACCTAAAGAGTTGAAACTTTCAAGTCCGTGGGGTCCACGGAATTGGAGCCTTAAAGTTCGTGGGACCCAAAGATTTGTTATCTCTAAATACATGAAGCAAACAATTTGGACAAAGTCAATGATGATGAATCAAAATCCATCACCAAGTACATCACCAAATCCATCAAGCTAAAAACCCCCCTTGATGTTTTTTTTTCTTCTTGATGATGTAGCCCATTTTAATATGCAACTTTATTTCAAATTTTAGTGTAAATAATGAGACTAGCCCATTTTCATATTAGCAGTGGCTGAGCCACTTATTGGCTTGTTGGAATGGCAAAAATATCCGTAACAGTGGATATCCGTCCGAATCCAACCTAATCGGGTAAGGTAAAACTCGAACCCGAATATTGCAGGTAATGGATGGACATGGTTTTCTCACTATCCAACCCGAACCCGCCCGATTATAACATGCATATGTATTTTTTCTATAAATAATCATTAATTTTCTCTAATATATTTTATATTTAGCATATAAATATAATATTTTCGTGAAATTGTGTTTTTTAATGAATTTTTTTCATTCTAGTGAATTATTCTCGTACTTTTACGCTTATGTAATGTGAGAATATGTGTGAATGGTAACATATTTGTTGAAGTTATAAAGAGAAATTATTATCCATGGATAACCGTGGATACCCGAAACCCGAACGGGTATGGGCATGGTTTTGATTTTCTACCCATTTCTTATGTGGATATGGGTATGGGTAAAACCCGAACTCTTTTGGGTAGGGTAACGGATATACACTATCCGCCCCCGACCCATTGTCATCCCTATTGGCTGGAGGGGCTATAGCCCCACCTAACTCACAAATTTGTGTAAATTTACGTATTAATTTCGCAACAAATTTGGAAAAAGCAGGTGATAAGACTTTAGCCTCCTTCTCTGGTTCAAATCATTTAAATTTTTAGCCCCTGATTAATATTTCTAGCTCCACCACTACATTTTAGTATATTTAAAATTTTGACCATATAATTATAGAACAGGACTTTTCACAATTCTTTGAAACTGTTATAATATGATATAATTTTTTTACGATGGTATCCAACAAGTATGTTTGAAGATCAAATTCCCAAATATGACAAGTAGAAAAGCAAGTTCTTGTCTCCTAGTTCTGAAGAAACTGAACCAGGCCATAACATATCCATGCAGCGTTCAGGTGGCGGGTTTGCATCATCACGAGTACCGAAGCTATGTTATATGTGCATCGCACAAAAATGTTTCTCCATTTCAATTGAGCATTTGTTTTTGTGCCGATATTATTACATCACGGCGGAACTGAAATGAATTATTAAGTAGTCCAAGTAGCAAGTACTCACCTATAAATAAAATATATTATGAGTAATTTATACTAATAATAATAATGAGTGCGAAACTTTCTTCTAAATTAATTAAGTCGTTTGGTAAGCATGTAATTTACTCACAGATTTCAAGATTACATGATATCTGAGATTCCACTGTTTTTCTTGTTTCATTTTTGGTCAGATATCATGATATTGGTGCACCATGTAATTCTAGAATTCATGTGACCATGATATCTCAAATGCTTTGGGTTTACCCAAAGTATTTGAGATTTCATGCCAAATTATGTGGGTTCTACCATGAAC